AATCACACCTGAGCAATGCATGCCACTAGTTTCTCCATACAGGAGGCATCTTGAAGCTGTCATTGACAACAAAGGCCACAAAGTACAAAGTATTAGATAAATTTCAGTAAGTGTGTTCAATACTTTTTCCCTGTGCCATTCCACATTATTACAAATAACTTCATTTCTGGACATTTATGCTTTGATTTCTTTGTATGTATGGATCACTTGGGTTGTTACCGACATCTGGAGAAAATTTCATGTCATTAGCACCTCTAGTAATATATTTAATGAAAAAAATGTTGACGTGTTCAATACTTATTTTACCCGCTGTATACTGTATAAGCTGTCTAATAAAAATGTCAGAAAGCTCGGTGTGTTGTGGATGTACCAACAGAAGAGAATGGTAAATGGTAAATGGACTGTACTTATATAGCACCTTTCTATCCATCCAGGACACTCAAAGCGCTTCACACTACAGACATTCTGCTGCATTCTGGCACGATAAGCTCTATGTTATATATTTAATTAATGTATGATCCGATTAGTCGAATAATCGAAAAAAATAATAGGTGATTAATCTACTATAAAAATAATCATTTGTGGTTTGTGAGTCACTTAAGTGATATTTAACTCTATGTTCCCAATACATAATTAGATCACAAATTTTTATACTTGACATACAAGAAAGAAGGCAATATCCCTTCATAATTTTCTCTGAACATCTTTTCAGAACATTGATGTAGTTTAATGAAGTCAGGTCGTAAGTATCCAGTCAAAGAATAAAATATTAAAAACACTATTGCTATACTTGTATAATTCCTGTGAAGGATCAATACACAACTCAAGCATGTGTATGTGTGGAGTGCAACTTCATTGAAAGATTTTATAACAAGTCTTGAAAGGATCTTTGAACATTTTGTGAAAACACAGACAGGATCTTGATACTTCCTCTTTAGTAAATGCGTTGGACAGCAGTAATTTGGAGCCATGACTGGGTGAACACAAGGGGGAGACCACAGCATACTGTGAAATTTCTTCTGCTTCAACTCAAAAAAAAAAGTCACCAGTGTCACACTGTGTGTTCAGTGTTGTCATACCTTGCATCTTCCAGGCCTTCCTTTGTTCCTCTTTGGCAATCTGTTCCATCTCTTTGTCGTAAATGTAGTCTTGGCACATGAAGCAGTAAATTCCCCCGTACAGCAGGTCGATAGCTGAACAGACAGACGCACAGCAGAGAGTGATGAGAAAACTAAGGTGACTCCATTAATCTGATGGTGAGACGGCGATAAAGACGTGTTGGTGCAATCTGTGTGAACTGCTAACTGCAGGTTCAGTTTGCTGAGGTGCTGCTGTGCAGAGCTTGGACTATCTGCTGACAAAATCACAATTTCTAGATAAGAGCTGCCCTGAGAGCTAGAGAGAGCACCAAGGGCTCAAAACATGAGCAGAGCAAAGAAGAGAGAGGCACCTGTATGAGTAATGTCGTCACGCATGTACTTAAGTGTTCACACGCCGACTAAAGTTCTCCTTCTACTGCCGTCGCCTGCATCATGCCCTGCAGCTACCACTTTTATGTAGCTATAACAATCTGCCTGTGTCTTTTAGTTGTGTGGATCAAAATTTATATTCTGTAATGACTGGTCACAAAGAACCTGTCATATATTATGACTACTTGAACATAGGGATATTTATTTTCAACAACTGAATCGTAGGTCTTTCATGTTGTGACTTCTGAATGAGGCGGCTATGGGTTGTGACGCTACTCTTCAGTGATTGGCTCTGCGGCTCGTGCACACTCGTGCACGCTTGCGCTTCTTGGAAGCTGACTGGCTTGTGGATCAGAAATTGCACGAATCATGAGCACCCAGGTTATGTACATTTGTTTTATCGTTCCACTTTTCTTGCTCACTGCAACTTCTGCAGACACTTTGTACCATGTAGAATTTATGACCTTTTATAGCATTTAATAAATCAGCACAAAACACAATTCTTTTGTTTAATTTTTGAGTTCATCATTACATCAAAATAAATCCACTACGGTTGTCGTTCTTTGCAGGAATGACATAAACATAAAGGATGAAGGAAGGCTAGGAGGTAGAAAGGGAAAGATCTCACTTGAAATGAAAATAAGTAAAACTTGTAATTAGAAAAATCCTTCAAGATTTCTGAGTATTCAGTGTTTCCCCTAGGAAATTGGTCTTGACGGGGGGGCTACTTGTTTTATAAAAACATAAATTTTCGTGACTCACCTGCAATTATGGTAATA